CAGTGTATTTCTTCATGTTTTTAGTTTTTATATCATTAAGATTCACTCGCAAATCTGTTCAAACAGCTTTAGAATTTAATTTTAATCTACTTTAAAACATGGTAACGTAAATAATGGTAACGTAAATATCGGTAACGTAAATATCTTTCTGAGATTTATCGTAACTTTTAATGCTGTTGTTTAAATATTCCACTGTTAATTAAAGGCATATTCTAGTGCTTGAGTGTAAGGCAATTTGACCCATAGGAAACAGTGTAGTTCTCTTACTGAATTTGTGAATAAATACTAACACGTAAATATCGATGAATTTTTTAACCATTAGACTCATAAGAAAAGGGGGGCTATTTTTTTTTTATAAATACAGATAAACAGTGTCTTTTTTACCATTCCATGCAATAGAAGAGGTGTTCATGATGTTAAAAAGTTACAACTTAATCCTATTGAGTCAGTTCAGCAATCCTTCAAGTCCTTTTGAATTTCCAAATAGAAAAGTAATAATTTTGCGGTGACATCAAAATTTGATAAATATATTAAAATTTTTAAAAATTTGTGATACGCAAATGTGTGAAGGGTGTGATATTCAGAAAATATAACTCAAATGTAGAACAATCTTACTAAGAAAAAGATATGTAAGTGATTTAAAACTTCTTTTTGGTTTAAAATAAAAACTACACTATTTTCGGCGACAGTAACGTAAATATCGATTTCTGCTATAAAATGCGATTTTCGCCCAAGACAATCATTCAAGTTACAACAAACAATTGTTGTAATTTAATCAACAAGCAACAATGGTTCATATGACTGGCAGAAAATAAAATTTATTAGAAATATTATATTACTTAAAACACGGTACATTATTTAAAGCGAATTGAGACTATAATTTGAGAATCAGTGGCAAATCAAAGACGCTGATTGTTTTGTTCCATTCAAATGATAATAATTTCAAAGTGTGTTTACGGGTTTTATTTCATGTTTATTCTGCATAAATTGGCGCAGTGTAAAAATGCGTACTCGTGCAACTAAATCTTTCTTTCAAACTTGCATTTTCTTTTTTTTTATTACATTTGATTCAAATCAATAATTATTCAGAAATATGAATATTATGTTGTGTGGTTTTGAAATGTCTTGATCAACCCATGTGTTTTCAAATGTTTTACCATCGGAGATGTGCACAAGTCGATAGCCAAGCCAAAAAATCATTCAAGTGTAACGAGAGCATTCGGGTATATATCGTTACAATAAGACAAGGTATCTGAAAGAAATATGGCGGAATACGGCTTTAGTTGGTATGAAACAATTCGTACATAGATGAAAAAGTTGCGTTTTTAAGAATTCATGTCAGCTTTAAACATATTTGTTTTAGTTAACAGCAAATAAAAAACGCCCGTAATATCTTTCATAGTTTCTAATGTTTGCATTCTGTTCATAAGAACATTTTGTCCCCCGCTTGAAAAGTGGGGGATATTGATTTGGGTCTGTCCGTCCGTCCGTCTAGCTGTCCGTCCGTCTTTCTGTCTGTCTGTGACGCTTTCGTTTCCACACGATATCTCGAGAACCCTTTGAGCTTTCGCAATGAAATTTTGCATAGCAACTCCCTATGGACTAAAGAAGAACCCTATTGATCTTGAGGTCAAAAGGTCAAAGGTCAAGGTCATAAATTCGCAAAATCTCTCTGTTATAACACTTTCGTTTCCGCGCGATATCTCGAGAACCCTTTGAGCCGTTGGAATGAAATTTTATATAACAACTCTCTGTGGCCTAAGGAAGACGCCTATTGATTTTGAGGTCAAATTGTCAAAGTTCAAGGTCGTAAATTTATACAATCTGTCTGTGTGTAATACTTTCGTTTCCGGGCGATATTTTAAGAAGATTTTGAGGCTTTGCAATGTAATTTTATCCCTAGGACCTCTCTCACCTCTCTCAAAGTGTTTGTTTTATAAGTATTTATTGTATTGCTTGTCGCTATATTTAGCACAAGAGAGTTATTACGTATAATACAGGTTCTCGGTGGACTTTATAGTCTTATTACATCTATTAGAATTGTTTGATAAAGGCTAAATTAGACACCATGCATTGTGTAAAAATTTGACGAACGTGAACATATACATCTTTGTGACTTCATGTTTGCATATAATTTTCGCCAGAATAAAGCGGTTCCGTGGTGCAGTGGTATGTCTCTCGATTCACATGTGATAGGTCTCGGGATCGAGTCGCGGTTGATCCATTTCCTTTTTTCCGAAATATTTTTTTTATTAAATGATAGTATTCAGCATGTGAAATGAAAAAGTAATGAGGTCTGGCTTGTACAAACTCATAAAATCATCATTAAAGTGTGATAAATATTCCACATAAAAAGAATCTTCTATACACATAATAAAGAATAAGCAATCAAATCTTTATATTCATAATGACATGCTGTATTTTACTTGCTTTAGTATACATGTATACATTTAAATAAGTCTACAAATTCAGTCAGGGGGATCCGACTCCCCCCCAACCTACCCCCGAACTGCGAGCATGGTTTACTTTTTCCCTAAGCGGGGGACACAAATTCTCTAAATTAGCTTATTTTTTTTTATTTTGCACTCCACTGACATGATCATAGATTGACCTGAACCATGTGTTCGAAGTAACATGTAAACATGTATTTGGCGTAAACGTATTCAATCAACAATTGGTCAGTTGGTCAATTAGAAATGATAATATATTATGTGCCATTGTTTATGTAATAATTACCACATGTAATGTATTGTATATCATATACTACATTAATATGAGCCTGTACAAATCTTATGTATGAATATGTATGTACATATTTTGTATACCTATGAGATGTGATGTCCCTGATTCAACTAACACACATTAAAAAATCTCTGCCATGAGCTGCAATTTGAGAGAATAAGTATGTTTTTAATTATCTTTTTTGAGCAACACAGCTGCAATTCATTGTTTCAATAAAATTCCAAATGTTTGTGAATACTTATATATACGTTAGTTGTCTTCCTCTTAACTGACCTTTTTTTTTTAATATGAGTATTCCAATTAATACGTTTGGTCAAGGTAATCAAGGGTAATTGCTTATAACAGGTATAGGTACCTAAACCTAACAATTTAGACGTGATCGTCAATTAATAAAGGAGAAAAAAACAGAGACTCTTGTCCTAAAGAAATGAATAGGGATATAAGTGACTGTATAGGTTATAAATTAAAGTATGTTATAGATTTTCCATTTAATTTGATATATTCTTCTGCAATTAGTCAGTTAGGGCAATTAAATATGATAGGACCTGGAAATGCTTTGCTAAAGAAATAAAAGGTGCAAATAATGAACAGAAATCTATCTAATAAATAATAATAAAAAAATAAACAAATCCGTGAAGGTGAATCAAAACTGGTTCATGGAAATTCCAGAGGTAGAACCACTTCCGAAGCAGGTGTCTAGAAGGAACAATTATACCCAGATGAGCGACCAAAGATACACTGCATAGTCAAATCTACTATTAAATCAAAGGCCAAATGTTTAGTATAATTAAACAATTCAACCAAAATACGACCCAGAGAGAGATTATATTTTGCTTACAAAGTCACGACTTAAAAAAAAGATTATAATCAAAGCAAGAGCTTGAGTGATACAAATACCATAAGCAGGCTGTTAAGGAATATTACTACATAAATAAGTAATGTTAATGATTTAAAACCTTTATTCATCTCGTTTGTGAAACAATATTTTTTTTAAATTTGTCTTTATCGTGAAAAGTCAGTAAAAAGTTGAAAATGAAATAAATGAAGATAGCTTTGAATATAGAAAAAAAAATAACCCAATTAAATCAAGAACGTTAAAAAATATAATGCAAATTTAAGCAATTTTGGTTGTTATCAAAGATCGTCCAATGACATGAATATGTACGGTGTTTTTTCTACCTTGACATTGTCGCCAAATCCCTTTGTACCATATTTTGCGACACTTGTTCTAAGCTTTAATATGTGCTAATTTTTGTTTCTATTAACATTAATGCATTTTAAGTCATGGTATAATTCAAAGCCATTGTACATGTATATAATCGATCTTGTTTTAATTTTTTCCCTCATGCTTAATATCTTTCAGGGAAATTTAACTGCCCATTTATAAATGAAAATGATGATCAGCAAGCGTCTAAGATAAAATCTTAAGCTGTGTAAAATATTACATATTTAAAGACATTCCTCGATGAAAAAAAGTATTAAAAGAAAATTTCCTTAAATTACCAATGTTTGGTTGCCGAAACGAACAGTTTATTGTTTGAAAAATTATATATTGATAAGGACAAGATTCACAAATACATGTACATCTTGGGTCTAAGATTCTTGATTCCAAGGAGTTTTAAGATGAAATATGTGAAGGTAATGAACATTATTTGAGTTCAAATTCCATTAAACATCAAAGAATAGGAGCAGAACAATCACGGACCTCCAAAATGTCAGAGATGTGATCAGGTTCCATTAAGGAGTGACCATCCCTTGCCGATTGGTCACACCGTGCACGTTGTGTGGTCTTTGTCATGTTCTGGTCGACCAAAAAGAAAACAAAATTCCGTGGACAACTCAATGTGTAAATAGTGGCCTAACAATCAATTTGAAAAAAGGCAGTCAGCATTTGATAAATTGTATTTGCTGACAAAGTCATTGTATCGACGATGGAACTTTGGAATGATGACATGTATCTTTGTTTTGTTTTTTTTTTTTTGGTCCACTTGAAAAAAAAAATACATGTGCATAGTAATGCGCCCGTGTGTGTGTTACAAGTATTTTATGTCTGAGTTAGTTTATGCATGTGCGAAGCGGAAGTGACATAATTTGCTAGGGATCAAATGCCGAATGCTGCCTTGATTTATGGATAGGCTCTTTGCAAGGAGATGTTCCATTCTTCAGTGCCCTTGATATAAATATAATGACTCCTACGTAAGACGTGATAAAACAGATGAGGTAGAGTCTCGTGTTACATTTTAATAGCGAATCACGTAAAATGAATGTATATAATTACACAACACAGACTATAATAATGTTTAAGTGATGAAAAGGATTACTGTACAGATTTTTTAATCTGGCTTAATACATTAAAATGTAAGTAAACTATTAAATGCATTTAAATCTAAATGATCTTGTTAAAAAGGACAGAATTTTGGTCAAAGTCTGTTATATTCTCTTTGAAGGTTTTCTCTACGCGTACGTCTAGTGATATTTATTGTTTTCACTTTGCTGTTTGGAATATACGGAAAGGAAAATACCTCAGATTTCATCAACAATTATAAAAAGTACAACACTGTCTGTAAAGGAATGGGATTTGAAGAAAAAACTTGCAAAGGAAAAGGTATGTTGATTTTACTTTGAACGATAACCAAAGAACCAAAATGAATTTGAACTACCATACCCGGTATATATATATATATATATATATATATATATATATATATATATATATATATATATATATATATATATATATATATATATATATATATATATATATATATATATATATATATATATTAGATTCTGAAACTTAATAAGAATCCATACAAATTGAACAAAAATACATAGCGGGTGCCAGTAAATGTTCAACCAAGCCTCTTTCTTTACTCCTCTCTAAGATATTAACTGTACGGAAGGAGAAACAATATATTCAAGGAGTAGTAATAATAATAATAATAATAATAATAATAATAATACTTTATTTATAGAAGGTAACCCGATTAGTGCAAGCACTAGTCTTCCTCGGGGCCTTCTTATAACACATATACAATGTATATACACAATAAATACAAATCACAATAAGGAGACAATAAAAAAAATGCATGTTACCAAATAGATAAATAAAACATATACATTTAAGCATAGAGAGAGAGAAAAAAAAGAAAAATCACGTAGAACCATTGCGTTTCACGAGCAAAAATTTTTTAACACTTTTTTTAAATATTGTAAGGGATTGGGAATTCCTTATACTTATTGGTAGCTCATTCCAGATTATAACTCCTGAATATTGTAAAGAATTTTTAAATAAGTTAGTTTTATATTTTGGTAATCGCAGTTCGGAGTTTGTTTCAGAGCGTAACGTGTATGATCCAGAGCTTTGAAATTCAAAAAGATTATGCATATAATCCGGAGACATACCATTAAGTATTTTGAACATTAGAATGCTTTTCTGTAAATATAAAAGTTCATAAACCGTTAACCAGCCTAAAGTGTTAAATAAAGGCATTGAAGGTGTATCATATTTTTCATTTAAAATAATCCTAGCCGCTCGTTTTTGTAATCTGTAGACTCTATCCACGTGCGTTTGAGGACAGTTGCCCCAAATGGACAGACAATATAAAATTGATGGTAGAATAAAAGCATTATAAAATAGTTGTCTAGTATGCATTGGAAGAAACTTTTTAATTTTTCGTAAAGTGAATATTTTATATGTAAGAGTTTTGCAAACTGCATCTACATGACAAGTATATTGTAGATTATGATCGATGTGAATGCCTAATAATTTGTGCATTTCTACATTTTCAAGAGTATGTCCGGAAAGTTGTAAATGAAAATTAACATTTTCTAATTTAGATTTCTTTTGTTGTGTTCCCATTAACATACACTTTGTTTTATCAGTATTTATAATCATCTGATTTTGTTGGCACCATTTTTGTAGTTGATTGAGTTCATGATTTAGAGTTGTTTCAATATGTGAAATACTATTGCCATGAAAATGCATTGTAGTGTCATCAGCAAACATATCAATATTACAATGTTCAACACATAATGGTAAATCATTAATATACAATAGAAACAACAAAGGACCTAAAATAGAGCCCTGTGGCACACCTGCTGTGACTGGCAGTGATTCAGATATGTATGCACCAATTTTTACACTTTGTGTTCGATCATATAAGTATGATTGAAACCATTTAATTGATATTGGATCGAAATGATAGCATTTAAGTTTTTCTAATTAGTATATCGTGATTAACAAGATCAAATGCTTTGCTAAAATCCAAATAAGTAATGCCAACAAATTTTCCTTGATCTATTGCTAGTGTAAATCAAATGTGGATACTTAGAAATTCCAAGGAACTTTTGGACAATTCGAAATCACAAGAAATATTTCCAAAATCAAAAGTTTAAAAACCTACGACTTTACAAATTAATACTCAACCATTCCCAAGGATAAATCAAATTCCAGGTTTTTCGTTTTCGATATCATTGACAGCTGCTTTTTCAATAAAAATGGAACTCGGAAATTTACTTACCTTGTCATTGGTCATTTGCAAAATTATTTTGTTAAAAAGCATTCTGATTGCACACACAATTACTCTGAAGTCGACATCAAAAAGATGCTTGAGTTTCTGATTGACAATATCTATGTTGTTTTTGGAGACCAACAATCTATTGGAATTCCCAACGGTATCAAATGCGCCCCGTTATTAGCAGGCCTATCTTTGTATTCATATAAAGTAGAAGTTGTGCAAAATCTTATGCTGTGGCCTTCAACTCGACATTTAAATACTGTAAACGTATTACATTTGGCTGTGTATTCTTTTTAGCGTTTTTGGCGGAAAGCAATATCCGCTAATTCAAGTACAACGCTAAATGTCTCGCACATATATCTATAAAGAAGAACATTACGTTATGCTCTAAATCAAATCCACTCTAACTAGTTCAAAATCCAATTTTCGCCAAATATCGTACGCGCTAAATATAATACATTTACAGTATACCAACGACGTACTGTCAATATATTAATAATAGTTATTTATATTCCTATGTCGATACGATATATCCTGGTGAGCCTGAGATAAAAGATACCACAGAGTCTGAGTCTGTCATATTTAGATATTTTACTTTAAAAAGACGTCAATGGTAATCTGACAACCAATCTCTGTGATAAACGTGATGATTTAAACTTTTCTATCGTCAACTTCCCTTGCTTATGCAGCATCCGTATCACCTGCATACGTAGTTAACATATCTCAGTTGATTCGATAAGCAAGTGCATGCTCTACGTATGAACAATTTCTTCAACGAGGTAAATTATTGACAAACAAGTTGATGAAACAAGAACTTCAGCAGGCTCGTTTAAAATCACCATTTCGTAAGTTCTATGGTCGATACAATGACCTTGTCAGCAAATACAATTTATCATTCTGTGAAATGCTGACTGACGTTTTTCATAATAATTCTTAGTCCATTATGTGTACACTGAATTGACGACGGATTTTTTTCCCGTTATTTCCCGATCATGACAAAGAGCATGCACACGGCGGGTGTGACCAGTCGGCAGGGGATGTTAACTCCTCCATGGCACCTGTGATGTTGTGGAGGTCCGTGTTTGCTCTGCTTTAATTTTGTATTGCTTATGGACTTTCGATCTTGAATACTGTTCGGTATCTCGATATGCTTCATTTTAACGATAAACTAGAGGTAATTTGAGCAATGAGGTCACTGAATAAAACCCTCGCTTCCCATATGAATATAATGGGAGTGTCCATTTTTTGTTGTGGGAAAACCAAAATATGTGTCAGATCAAAATGAAAGATAGGAGGTGAACAATGGCAATACGTATAAAGATTCTGTGAAAGTTCCATCAAATTTCATTCAGTGGTATGAGAGGAGTTGCTGATAAGAGATGGGTACCCTAAAGCGTAACAGACAGACGAAAGGACGGACGTACAGTTAGAACGGACGTACAGACGGATTGACGGACATACCGATTACTATATACCCTCCCGCTTTTCAAGCGGGGGTATGATAAATCTTTCTTTTTAATAAAATGTATAATAAACAGTGATACGAACAACACATGCAAATTATTTGATTGAATTGAAATCTTTTGGTGTACGATACTTTTTTAACTCTTTATTTAACAATATTTTCCTTTCTTATCATTACTAGCTTATTGATAGGTAGATTTTAGTTTAAACTAAATGAATTTCTCTATTTTCAAAAGGTGTGATCGCATTCAATGCACTCTTGACAGCTGATCAGCAAAGACCGACAAAAAAGGCAGTTATCATTTTCAAAAAGGTAATATTAAACTCTGGAAATGCATATGATGCAACCACTGGAAAGTTTACAGCTCCTGCCGACGGAATATACTCTTTTACATGGACTATTGCAACAGATGCTGGAAAGTATTTAAACACAGAAATCCTAATGAACTGTAAGCCTTTTAGTTACAACCATGTAAATGGTAGGGATGGAAGTTCCAACTACGAAAGTGGATCAGCAACAGCTAATATAGAAATGAAAAAGAATGACGAAGTTTGGCTCAGAGCGTATGACGGCGGTGGGTACGCCAGAGACACCCGGTCATCTTTCTCTGGCTTCCAGATATAAAACTGAAAATTCTTAAATTTATGTTTTTGACATGTGATCTGTTTAAAAAAACACTTTTGCAATGCAACGGTCATTCAATAAATAAATCAAAATGTCTTATAAAAATATGAATCTTCGATTACGGTAGCATACAAAATGTAGGTATGCAGTCAAGATACCTGTATTCTACAAAAAAAACCCCACAATCTAGATATGATATTTGTTTATCCTTATTTGCAATTTTTGCTGTCATGACAATTTTTTTAAGTGTACGTTAATAAGCAATTGTCTATGTATGCCTACAAGATGGTTACTTTCCTTCAAAGTACCTGTGGAGAAAGTATGTTAAATCAATTGTCATAAATTTTAATCTACAACCAAGACCTCACCGGATGTTCTTAGAGTTATCATGTCTTCTTTTCAATACAAATCAACAATGAGACCTCCGTAAACGATCTGGGAAATCCATAAACCATGCACAATGTAGAAATTTGCAAATTAATTGCAAAAAAACTATGGATTCTAGAGATTCTCCTCCAAAATATTGTTATCTTTGCAAAGAATACTTAAAAACATTTTATTCAATCTGTTTGGATACAATACTCATCCACCAGGCATACAAAGAGTAATTCAGGAATGCTGGACCCTCTGCACTTTTACCACATGGTCTATACCTTTTCATGTTAGGTGCTTGATAATTTTCAAGGTCTATTATTCATTGTTTGGGAGAAGTTTACATTTTTTTTAATTTCTTGGTTCCTCAGGTATACAACAATCTGGTTTGACAGAAAACTGCGGTATGTATGTTTATGGTCGGCCAAATTTATTTTTATTATACAAGTGTCTCTACTGATTTTTTCATACATAACATTAGATCTTTAAATATGACTTATTCCCTAGGAATCGTTATGAATGAACTAATATCCGTGCGTAAGTCAAGTGAAGTAATCCCTACTACAAAAGCTAGATCCCGGTTATCTGTAATCCTCTAGATTTTACTTTTGCATTGGTATGATATTTGAGTGAACTAATCACCCTGTGTTAGTCTAGTGAGCTAGTCCCTGCTTTGAAATCTGCTTTCTGAATCCTTTAAATTTTACATTTGTATTGGTATGAAAAGACGGTTTAAAGTGCTCTTAAATACTGAAACTGATGAACAATTCGGTTCATATGAACCTGAAGCACATGTTCTGCAGCAGGTTAAATAATAAAGAGTGTGTGTGTATAGAGCATTTATTACAAATGCCAAATAAGATTACAGATTTTACAATTTCTGAATGCAGCAGAAGGTGGGTCCCAAAAAATATCCTTCACCTTATACAAAAGAAAACTAGTACATATATTTTCTACAACAACAACAATAGGCATCTTATACAAAAGGATCTAGTACATGTATTTTCTACAGTAACAGTAGGTATGGAGGATTGAGGGGGTGGAGGTGGGTAAAGTTTGTAAACCACATTTTCGGAGCCAAAAGTTATTTTGATAAGGATAAGGCTAATAGCCGTAACTAGAGGGAAGTTAAATATAAAACCCGGAAAATCCCTTCGTGACCCATGAATTCACAAAAAATAGTGATTAATAAAAATACGCAATTTTATACGCATTTAGATCACATAAATTCCTTTATACATTTATACATTAATACACAAAAGTATATCATTGCGAGAGTTAACAGTTTCGAGTTCCCCTTGGCCAAGACCATTTCTCTCGGCTTCGTTTCGGGAAATAGTCCTAAGGGTTGGGTAACTAGAGGCTAGATAATTCCCTGAACGAAATACTTTAAATGTATACCAATGTAAGAAAAAAGTCCGTTTCCAGATAAGGGTTGCTCCTGTGAGCAACCTTGTCATTGCTTGTTGAAATTAAGTGTACAAGTAATTTTCCCTTATTTTCCTAATGACGATGTGCATTTATTTACTAGAGTATTCTTACAATCTTTTACTGTAGAAATTAAAGATAGAATAGAATTGGAAAGGTAAACAGCCAAATCAAGAACTTTTAAAGACCAAATCGTATATGCATAAAGTGAACTGTGAATCATGATTGAACAGCGGAGAGACTTTTTAGACGGAAGTCTGATTGCAGTACTAATTTCTAATATAAAAATGACTGAAATTATAGGGACCAGAGGGAACTTTATTCTATAATTTTAATAAGGAAAATAATTTCATTTTGCCTCTAAAAACATTTTAGACGTATAGTTCTGACTTTGTATTAAGTTAAGGAATTTTTTTTCAAATAAAAAATGAAGTATTTGACAATTCTTACAATTCTGTAAATGTTTATGTGTTATCTTTATCGAGTCTTAGGGGCAGAAATGAAGCAATTTGTAAATTAAAGAATGTGTCTCATCAGTTATCAGACATGACATATATGTGGATAATTAAAAAGTTTTCTTGTGAAGAAACCATTAAACAATGAAAAATTTGGATCACAGCGAACATGGACCCCTACAAAAAATGAGGTATAATTAGGTGTCATGGAGGTAACCATCCCATGCCGACGGTTACACCTACAGTGTGCTCCTTGTCTTTTTCGGGAAAAAATGGAAAAACCCGGCAGTCGTCAATTCAATGTATAAAGAATAGCATATTGACTAGTTTAAATGAAACATATAGAGATAACGAAAAGTATTCAATATCAAAAGTCCATATAACAAGACAAAATAGAAGCAGAGCAAACACAGACCTCCAAAACCTCAAAGATTGGACCAGGTGCCACGGAGGAATGAGCAAAAACTATCAGTCAGAATATGGTCGACTTTATGATAGACTGTATTTGCTGACAAGGTCATTGTGTCGATCAGAAAACCTACGAAATGGTGACTTTAAATGAGACTGACTGGTGATGTTCTTGTTTCATCGACTTGTTTGTCAATAACCTAATATCTCGTTTTTAAAATTATTTATATGTAGAGGATGCTATTGTATATCAAATCAATTGAGAGATATAGACACCGTTTTGATGAAGGTATACTTTTGTAAGAGAAGTGAACGATTGAAAAGTTAAAGTCGTCATTTTTATCATAAATATTGAATGTTAGATTACCATTACGTTTTTTTGTTCTAGTACAATATTGAAATACGAAACATATCTGTCAGACTCTTCGGTATCTTTCAGGCTCACGGTATATATCGTATCGACAGGAGTGGAAATTAACATTCATTTTATGAATTGATATTACGTCGGCGATATATCTAAAAGTCGAGAAGAAAGCCTGCAGGTGTTTTCTCCTTTTCACGTATATGATTTTGAACAAATTCTGCTTAATATGAATACAAAAACAAGACTACTACTCTTACTTTGTACATATGGGAATTCCAGTAGATTGTTGGAGAGCCTGTTCATCAAAAACCTCAAATATATTGTCAATCAGAAACACAGGTATCATTTTGACGTCAACTTCAGTGTATTCGTGTGTATAATCATAATGTTTTTTTTAGCAAAATTATTTTTAAAATGACTAATGAGAAGGTAAGAATATTAACGAGTTCCCTTTTAATTAAAAAAAAAAACACAACTGTCAATGATATCGAAAAACCTGAACTTTTCTCCTGGAAATTATCTTTCATGTTGTTCAGTTGTTGATATATTTTAGTGAAGAGGTTTGGTTAAACATTTCCTGGAACCTGCTATGTATCTTTGTTTGTAAGGATTTATATAAAGTTGCGTAATCCTATATTGATGTAGTGATTCATTTCGGTTTTTTGGCGTGTAAAAAATATATAAAACTGATGATTTTTAAGAATTTTCTCTAAAGAAAAGGGAGCTATACGTAAAAGTTCTATTAGCACTCGAAGAATTAAATTCCACTTCTTCTAAAATTCAATTTCCTTTCACTGTAGCTTAGTTAATAAGCGCTCGCTCTGTGATTGGAACGTTGTAAGTTCGAATCTCAGCCGCATCTGACCTCTTATCACGAATATGACGTAATTAATATATAATCAATCATTTAAAGACCCAATTTTTTTACCGCACGGTTACCTGAGGAGGGGGAGTGGTCGAAGTAACAGTGGTGTTATCTATCTGGAGACCCCCAATACCCAAGATGTTAAAAATTTGTGTATACGTAGCATTACACAGGAAGTTTGTGTTTGGTAATCAAGGTCATCATTACGTGTTTTGTGTCTGGTTTTGAGTGAAACTACGTAAAATAATTATTTTAATATGAAATTTATTTGTAAACTTTACGCATTCATCGTAATCATGGAAATGTTTTGAAGGAAAAAAAATGATAAGATACATGTTTATCGTTTTAGAAAATGTTTTCCTTACATAAAAGAAAAAAATCACAAGTAAAAACTACAAATCAACAAGATGTGTTTGTGAAACACTGATGCCCCCGTATGGCAACATAGCGAAGTTTAAGCTTTCTCAAATGCAGATCAAATATGTTGGTACCTAAGTAAGGCCTTTTCACAAGAAATGCGAAATATAAAACACTAGCTACACCTGTTCCAGGGTTATGACCAAGGTTAACATTTTATAATATAGGACAAACTCCGTTTCAAGGTCAAAGAGTCAAGGTTGTTGGGTTCTAAAGAAAGGCTTTGTCTCAAAGATTACGTATGGGAAGCATGAAAGAGCTGGCCCATACCGTTACCTTAAGTTATGACCAAGGTTAATGTTTGAAAAAAAGTAGGTCAAACTCTAAGGTCAAGGTCAAAAGGTCAATATTCTTGATATCCAATGAAAGGTCTTGTCACAAGGATTACACAGGTGAAATATGAAAGATCTAGCCCCTACTGTTCAAAAGTTATGGTCAAGGTTATTGTTTGTAAAAGTAAGTTAAACTCCAAGGTCAAGGTCAAAGGGTCAAAATTCTTGATATCAAATGAAAGGTCTTTCCACAAGAAATAAATTTGTGAAGTATGAATGCCCTAGCCGGAACCCTTCAAAAGTTATGGTCAATGTTGTATTTTTAAAGTAGGTCAAACTCGAAGGTCAAGGTCAAAGGGTCAAGATTCTTGGTATCCAATGAAAGATCTTTTCATCAGAATTATTTATGTGAAGTATGAAAGCCGTAGTACTTATTGTTCAAAAGTTATAGCCAAGGTTAAAGTTTTTTCATAGACACAAAAATCTCCAAGGTCAAGGTCAAAAGATCAAGGATTTTGGTATCCAATGAAAGGTCTTTCCACAAAGAATACATAAGTGAAATATAAATGTCCCAGTATCTATTGTTCAAAAGATATGGCCAAAGTAAAAGTTCAAACTTTTTGTGTTTAAGTGGGTCAGACTCCAAGGTCAAGGTCAAAAGGTCAAATTTGGTGGTACCCAAAGAAAGATCTTGTCACAAGAAATAAACATGTGAAATATAAAAGTCACAGATCCACTAAATCAAAAGTTATGGACAAGGTTAAAGTTTTTGCGGACAAACAGACAAACAGAGAGACAGAGAGACAGACAGACAGAGAGACAGAGAGACAGACAGACAGACACGATAAAAACTATATGCCCCCGAAACTTCGAATTCGTTTACGGGGGCATAATAATATTTATCTTTTTTAATCTTCAATAAAAGAAATCACTTGGTTAAAAAGGTCTGAATATTGAAATAAAAAAATTTTTTAATCCACCTATCCGTCGTGCATGTGAACATGCATTTACCGCGATCGGAATGTTTTTTTTCCCTGGCCAACAATGTTGTCCAAAATATTCCATATTTTTTATTCTTCGTGTGTTAACAAAATTTTATTGTTAGAAAGATTTCTTTTCAGAATCGATCACTATTATCTTCACATTTTCATTACGTATATACAGACGCGAGGAAATTCGAGCATTAATTCGGACATCAATTTCTGTACAACATCGTGCGGATTGTAGCCATAGTACAAAATAAAACATCTTTTTATAACTATGCTATGCCGTTACAGAAAAAATGACATTTTAAGAAACAGTGTATATTTCTTCATGTTCTTAGTATTTACATCATAAAGATTGACTCGCAAATCTGTTCAAACAGCTTTAGAAATCAATACTTATTTACTTTAAAACATGGTAACGTAAATATCGGTAACGTAAATATCTTTCTGAGATTTATCGTAACTTTTAATGCCATTGTTCAATTATTCCACTGTTAATTACAGGCATATTCTAGTGCTTGAGTGTAAGGCAATTTGTCCCATAGGGGACAGTGTAGTTCTCTTACTTAATTTGTGAATAAATACTAACACGTAAATATCGTTGAATTTTTTAACCATTGGACTTATAAGAAAAGGGGGGCTATTGTTCATAAACACAGATAAACAGTGTCTTTTTTACCTTTCCGTGCAATAGAAAGGGTGCTCATGATGTTAAAAAGTTACAACTTAGTCCTATTGAGTTAGTTCATCATTCCTTCCAGTCCTTTTGAATTTCCAAATAGAAAAGTAATAATTTTGCGGTGACATCAAAATTTGATAAATATATTAACATTTTTAAAAATCTGTGACACGCATATGTGTGAAGGGTGTGATATTCAGAAAATATAACTCAAATGTAGGACAATCTTACTAAGAAAAAGATATGTTAATGATTTAAAAATTCTTTTGGTTTAAAATAAAAACCACACGATGATCGGCGACAGTAACGTAAATATCGATTTCTGCTATAAAATGTGATTTTCTCCTAAGATAATCATTCAAGCTACAACAAACAATTGTAGTATTTTAATCAACAACCAACAAAGGTTCGTAAGACTAGCAGAAAATAAAATTTATTTGAAATATTATATTACTTAAAACGCGGTACATTATTTAAAGCGAATTGAGACTATAAATTGAGAATGTGTGAATTACGGCAAATAGAGCCGGTTTCTGTGGACGCAGTCTTTTTTCTACAGATAACGTGGACGATATAACACTTACAAGTAACAAACAGCAGTGAAGATAAAAAAGAAATATTTTATAATGTCAATGTTTTAATAATCTACTTTGAATTATTTTTTTTAAATAAAATTCAAACATATTGGAGTTTTCTAACCCGCGTGTATACTATGCCGGTACATGAAAGAGTTTGACGCGTGACCAGGCAATTGTTTTCAAAACATGGCAAACTCAGATCATCAAGAAGCACAAGTAGCTGACCTGTCAATCAAATCAGAAGCTATTGTTTTTTTCTTGTATGATTGACAGGCGGTAAATTATTGATCTTGAATCCTGTAGATTTTGGGGGCGTTAACATAAAATTGAGTGTTTAAAATTCAATTTAAATAATATTAATGAGCTTATCAAACAAATACAGTATTTTTATAATTACCTGCTTTTTCAGCAGGGAACATTAAATACTGATTGTGTTATCTATCTTATTCTTTTTTGACCTCTGAATAATTGAACATGTGAGGACAGCACGATTTCATTTTACTGTACCCCTCGATCGATTAATATAATACTTGAGCGTACATTAAAAGCACTATAATTTTATTCTGGCAACGTGTTAAATACAGATGATTGTTTAATATAATAGTAATTAATAACATAAAACAAGCATCAATTTTAATATTATTATAAGCTAAATTCCTTTATTTACATTTTTGATAAAAAGCTAAATGAAATTACGGGAAAACTGTTTTAACTCTTATGGTATTATATCTCTTCCCTTTCCTCCAAACAAAAGAAAGAATTAACGTAGAGTATTTTAAAAAGCTTATAGAACAATTCAAAAATACAAATTAGAACCAGGGAATGCACGCATCTCACAATCCTAGGAGTCAGCATCCCTTACATACCAATGAAATGGCAAATATATAAGTAACCAATATCTTAAATGTAATACATGTTACCAGAATTGAAATCACACATAATCGTTACTGAAATACTGATATCAGAGAGAGAGAGAGAGAGAGAGAGAGAGAGAGAGAGAGAGAGAGAGAGAGAGAGAGAGAGAGAGAGGGAGGGAGGGAGAGAGAGAGAGAGAAACAACTAGTTCCCCCATACAGTAAATAATAATAATATCTGGTTTTAAAGAGCCAGGTTCACTTTATGCATTATATGACCCGTCTATATATCATTTGATTATCACCATCTTTCACATTTCATACGTCAACATAAAGTAGATACTTAGCGCTTTCATTTCCTATAACAAAATTTCTTTTCCAAAAACCAGGTATTGGAAAAAAGGCTTTGAGAAAACGCAATGTTCTTGAATTTTGCAGAAAACATGTGTATTTTACTACCTTCACCATACAATTGCAAATGAGCACAGCCCACGATCCACAAATTAAAGCATGTTTTTTATTCTGCAGAAAAAGATCTTTCATAATGTAATTGTATATTTTAGATAAGAGGTTGAGCCCTAAATGAAATATAATAATGATTGAAATATACTTCAATTTTATGCCAATTTTAAAGGAATTTACAGAATATTGGGAAAATGAAGTTATCTTATAATGTTATAATGCAATGCATTATCGAAAGGGAAGATAACGCAATGTTCAATAGATACAAAGTCACCAAGAGTCCAAGTGATAAATACTGCATTTTTTTTTAGATTGAACTGAGCAGTTTTGAATTTTTAGAAATTCTTAGGGCCAAAAATGCCTTTAGTGGCTCTTTCTTTTTCTTAGATTCTTTGTGTCATATCAAGAAAATTTTATATATTTCTATATTTGGCATATTACATATGTACAGAAATTAGCATTCAGCTATTCATAATTTAACATTTTCTTCATATGTAAAAGTATATGCATTATTGAGTAAAGAGCTTAATTATTTAATGATTGATAATTAAAAAATGATTCAATAACCTGCATACGTTAGATTTGCATTTACGACTTTTTAATGATTCATTGAATCATTCAAAATAATTAGTTACTTTCCTTTAGTTCTTTTTAAAACTTGTTAAGGATGTTTCAGATTTTTTCTTCATCGATCACATTTTTAGACTTCATGTCAGTGTAACATCACCTATATTTTATATACGACCCCCCAAAAAATAATAACAGAAAAAAAAAACAAAAAACAAAACAAAACAAAAAAAACAACAAAGAAGAACGAATGTTTTATCACACGGAAAATAGTATAAATAATCAGGGCTTTAAAGGTTCATATCTAAAAGGTAAATGAATGTCGGAGATTTTGCCTTTGTCTCTTTTCCTCCAGTTCCAAAAGCTTATCCAGACTGATTCTAAAACACAAAATTAGAATAATATAAAAAAGAAATGTTATATCTGGGTATTTAATTGTTAAGCCTACCTCTTGATTTAGAAAAGAAAAAACACCCTAAATCAACTTACTGTATTTTAGACAAGGTCGCTTCTTGTCTTGCCACTCTTTTTTTAATTGTCAAAAGGTTTATTTTGTGAGAACCAAGATCTTCGAATATATTTTGAATACCCTTGTTGATTTCGTTCAGTGGAGGACATTCCCATTTTTCTAGCACATCTCTTATATCATGTATGTTTTCACTTTCTTTGTAATGTGTTATTCTATGTCCCTAAAACATATATATTTTTAAATACTGAGTAAGTGGATAGGTATTGAAAATTGCGATTTCCTTAACTACAATATGGTTTTACTCTTTAAGTACTCATGCATTTAAATAAATCTAAATTCGTCAGCATTTTTGAATACATGTAGAAATGTCAAGCTATATTTCCAAAAGTCTAAATTTGATTTTCTAAAATCTAATAATCAGTTCAGAATCTATAAAATGATAAAGCAGCGTTCATACCTTCCCAAAAAGAAGACTATTTAGTTCGACCCTAGCAACAATCCAGGCCCTGTCGACCTCTACCCCCCTCTGAGCATCTTGTTGGACATTTTGGTAAGTGTCACTGAGTTGAGCTATCAGAATGTTTAGAAGAAGGACGCAGATTGTAAACAAAAATACCGCCATGATGATAAGACTCATAGTCCTACAGTGGAATAAAATGTAAAATATTAAGGGGGTAGGTTCCTTTTATCAAATTATTGAGCATTTCTGTCTAGTATTTCTTAAGAATCTACATCTAGCTTAATAAAAAATCAAGACAAAAATGGGTTTCAGTCAGCTTTTTTAGCACTATGGAGCAAAATCAATTTTTCAAAGTTTTTCCTTTAAGTTATTTTATCCAAATGAATAATTGGATCAAATGCATTCTTTTTTCATCAGAAATATTCACATTTAAAATTGTGATAAAAATAGTTTAAAATTACTTCATATAATCAAATATTTGACTTTTTGCATTCAAATTTTTTTTTTGTGTGTTAAAAATTTGAAAAGCAATTAAATCATTTGAAAGTTTTGTCAATTTTCTGAATTTAAGCAGAATGGTTAAAATTATCTTATATCGTATATTCAGAAAATGGAATAAAATGAGGGGGTATGTGATGTTAATTTTCAGAAATGACTAATAAATAAATACAATAACTGCTATTTTTAATCCTAAATTGACCTATTTTTCAAACACTTTCATGATATTTCTATATAATATATTTATTTAGGATCAGAATACAATATTTTACAGCACAAAATTACTCTTTGTGCATGATACATGTAAAAAAAAAAACCAAAAGGTCCAGGGGCCACATCGCTCACCTGAGCACATCGGCTAGGAAAAAGCACCAACCAGATCAGAATTGAAAAGTTTACTGGGTGTGGGGAAGGGGGCTTGAATTGTAATACTACTTGAGAATGCCTACATATCAATAGAACATATAACTTTGCTTTTCTTGAGCAAAAGATTTTTATAGATTTTTTTAAAAATATTTTGTTTGTATATATTACTTTGTAATAATTTGAATTTGACTCCCCATTATTTCCCTCCTTATCTCAAAGGGTACTCATGATTTGAACAAATTTAAATATATCAGGAATATAACTAAACATAGCTTTTGTTATTGGGATTTTTCCCTTTATTTTCCAATGTAAAATTTTGATCTATCATTCTACCCTTGGAGATTATGATTTGAACAAATTTTAATTAATTATACACTATCTGAGGATGCTTTCATTTACATATCACTAATCATGGCTTTGCTATTCTTTAGAAGAAGATTATTTAAATATATTTTAATAACTTTGATTCCCCATTGTGGCCCCGACCTATCCCTCAGGGTTATGATTTGAACAAACTAGAATCTACACTACCTGAGGATAATTCCATATAAATATCACTAATCGTGGCTTTGCAGTACTTGAGAAGAACATTCTTAAAGATTTCCCGATATATTCCTATGTAAAACATTGATTGGTCCTTGTGGCTCCACCCTACCCCTGGGGTGAAGATTTGAACAAACTTGAATGTACACTACCTGAGGATGATTAAACATGAGTTTCATCTTTCCTGCCCCAATGGTTCTTCAGAAAAAGATTTTTTCTATATGTTCCTATGTAAAACTTTGATCGTCCATTGTGACGCCACCCTTGCCCCGGGGGGTGAAGATTTGAACAAAATTGAATGTACATTACCTGAGGATGATAAAATATGAGTTTCATTTTTCCTGATCCAGTGGTTTTTTTAAAAAATGAGGTCAAGATAACAAGAGGCCCAGGGGCCACATCGCTCACCTGAGCAAATCAGCTAGGATGAAGCACAAATCAGATCATAACTGAAATGTTTACTGAAGGGGGGGGGGGGGGGCTGAATTTATTACTACTTAAGAATGCCTTCATATTGATACAGCATATGATTTTGCTGTTCCTGATAAAAAGAATTTTTAAAAACATTTTTTCCCATATTATCACTAATCATTGCTTTGAAGTACTTGAAAAGACGATTTTAATAAAGATTTTCCGTATATATTCCTATGTAAAACTTTGATCAGCCATTGTGACCCCTCCCTACCCCCCGGGGTCATGATTTGAACAAACTTGAATCTACACTACCTGAGGATGCTTCCACATGAGTTTCATCTTTCCTGGCCAAGTGGTTCTTGAGAAGAAGATTTTTAAAGGTTTTCCCTATATACTCCTATGTAAAACTTTGATCGGCCATTGTGGTCCCACCCTACCCCCGGAGGTCATGATTTGAATAAACTTGAATCTAAAATACCTGAGGATGCTTCCACATGAGTTTTATCTTTCTTGGCCCAGTGGTTCTTGAGAAGATTTTTTAAAAATGCCATTAATTTTTCACTAATTCATAATTATCTCCCCTTGAAGAGGGCGTGGCCCTTCATTTGAACAAACTTGAATCCCCTTAACCTAAGAATACTTTGTGCAAAGTTTGGTTGAAATTGGCCCAGTGGTTCTTGAGAAGAAGTCGAAAATGTGAAAAGTTAACGACGACGACGACAACGCCGACGACAACGACGACGACAGACAACGGACAGATTTTGATCAGAAAAGCTCCCTTGAGCCTTCGTCCTATGTGAGCTATAAACCTGAAAAGCTGAGGAGCGAACCTCGTTAAGTGGTAAATCACAAACCCGCATATATACAAGGGCTGTCCGTAAAGTTCGTGGACAAGCTAAGAATTAAAAAAAAGTTGCGTCATTGATATTTATGTTCCCCAAACGAAGTTGGGGAACATATTGTTTTTACTCTGTTTCTTATTATTATTATTTTTCTTCTTCTTCTTCTTCTTCTTCTTCCTGGGTACTTTTTTGTCCGGGAATGATCTCGTAAACTATACATCCGACTAAGGTGAAATGTTTTTAGGGTCAGTAGACATGTTATGTAGATTTGCGGAACGAAGGTCATTTTGCGTGCACGTGCTTGCAAGAGCGTGCACGTGCAACATGTGAAATGACCGATTTAATTGATATAGGCGTAACTTTTTAAATTTTTGATGAAATGCTTTGAAACTTATAATATAAGGACATATTAGAAGCATAGACAATATGACATGGTCAAAATAGCAAGATCTCACGCGCATGCACGTGCGCTTTGCTCTGATTGGCTGAAACTAAAGTCTCAATATCTTTCTTATTTTTTGACGAAATCCTTTGAAATTTTGAAAATAGCCATACATTAGGATATCCTACAACAAAATATATAGCAATTATCATGAAAACACGTGCATGCACGTGCGCTGCAATCTGATTGGCTTAAACTTTAAATAGCTATAACTCCCTTTATTTTCAACCAAACAGGATGGGATTTGGAACATAGATAGATATACTGGATTACTACAAGAAAATATGGTCACCATGCACATGCATACACGTGCATGTAAGTGCGCTGCAATCTGATTGGCTAAAACTTTAAACAGCTATAACTCCCTTGGTTTTCAACCAAACGGGGTGGGATTTAAAACAAAGATAGATGTAACGGACATCTACAAGAAGATATGGTCACCATGCTCATGTATGCACGTGCGTGCACGTGAAATGAGCAAAATTAAAAAAAAACACTTGAATGAGCGTATCCTTTTAATACTTTTGGATTAAATGCTTTAATATTTAGTATATAAAAATATATAGATTGTGTAGACAAGATGATATGGTCATTACGCACATGCATTCACATGCGCACGCAAAATTTGAATGAACTTTGTACACTTCTGGGCAAACGTTATTAAAGTCTCAAATGCATCGAGTTTGTCTTATTTAATGAAGCTTACAGGGAATATGGCACCAAAAGGGGAGTTTGGGAGCGTTTGGGGAACATCTGTAACGGTCCCCGTTACAATTAGCACTAGTTATTATTATTTTTTTTCTTATTTGTTCTCCGGTACTTTTTTGTCCGCGAGTGTTCTCAGAAACTGTTCACCCAACTGAGCTAAAACCTTTTTAGGGTTAATAGGTGTGTAGTGTAGGTGTGCGGAACGAAGGTCATTTTGCGCGCATACGCATGCACGTGCGTGCGCGTGATATGAGTGAAATGACCGATATACTTGATATAGCTATAAATTTTACAGTTTTTGATGAAATGCTTTGAAACTCATTATATAAGGATATATTAATAGTGTAGATAATATGACACTGTCAAATTAGCACGAACTCACGCGCATACACGTGCGCTTCGCTCTGATTGGCTGAAACAAAAATCTCAATATCTTTTTTGTTTTTTGACGAAATGATATCAAATTTGAAATATAAGCATACTTTAGGATGTTCTACAATATGATTTATAACAATAGTCTTGAAAACACGCGCATGCACGTGCGCTGCAATCTGATTGGCTTAAACTTTAAATGGCTATTACTCCCTTGTTTTTCAACCAAACAGGAAGGGATTTAGAATATAGACAGATTTAATGAACTCCTACAAGAAGGTATGGTCATCATGCACATACATGCACGTACGTGCACCTGCGCTTCGTTCCGATTGGCTGAAACAAAAATCTCAATATCTTTTCTGTTTTTTGACGAAATGCTATGTAATCTAAGATATATACATACTTTAGGATGTACTACAAAATGATATATAACAATTTTCGTGAAAACTACGCGCATGCACGTGCGCTGCAATCTTATTGGCTTAAACTGTAAATGGCTATAACTCCCTTGTTTTTCAACCAAACAGGATGGGATTTAGAATAAAGACAGACATAATAGACTCCTACAAGACGGTATAGTCCTCATGCACGTGCGTGCACGTGAAATGAGGAATATTAAAAATACGCTTAAATGAGTGTATTTTTTAATACTTCTGGATTATTTGATTTAATATGAAGTATATTAAAATATATAAATAGTGTAGACAAGATGCTATGGACATCACGCACATGCATTCAGATGAGCACGCGTGCAATGCTAAAATTTAAATATATTTTGTATTCTTCTGGGAAAACGTTGTTTTGCATAAAGTGTGTCTTATTTAGTAGCGCTTACAGGGAATATGGCACCAAAAGGGAGTTGGGGAGCGTTTGGGGAACATCTGTAACGGTCCCCGTTACAATTAGCCCTAGTTAATATTAGCATATTTCTAATCCTTGACTAAATGTGAATTGAAAAATGTAAAATCTTATTCAATTTCAAATGCTTATTTTCAATTATGGCTTCATAATTAGACTTGGAATGGAGACCCGGATCACCGCAAAATTTTAAATAAAATATTATGTATAAATTTCTTTTGTATTTTATAAAATTCTGCGGAAATCTGGATGACTTTTACATTATTAGGTTGACAGACGCTATCATGTCAAACGTGCAAAATTTGAACGTTCAAGGTTGTAAAATGGCTGAGCAATCAAAGTTAGAACTTAGTAAGACAGATCGGATTTGTTCCAAAAAAGGGACGTTTTCGGAATAGGTGGAGCATTGAGCAGTGATAAAATTCTGCGTAGACATCGGATAAACACCTATAGAGACCAATACATTTTGTAAACAATCGGGAAACTATAGTAAAAAAGCCGTACATTAGTATTGAAGTGGCATATAATATTTTCGGACGGAAGGAACAGTTTATAGGATTACATGCGTGAAGGAAAACCTTCATTCCAAGACTGCAGTGCTGTAAAAATGACTTTCATAGCGTGACTTTACCGTATTTCCGCAAATAAAATCGTTTATACGTGGACAGACGTTGGATGATTACAGGATATGCATTGTTAAATATTATATTACGTGTGAAACCTGAACATTTTGTGCACATATTTATGAGTGGTCAAAGCGATATAAGAAATGTATTGAGTTAAACGGTGACTATGTTGAGAAAAGTTACATGTACTCGTTATGTATTCGTTATTTTTTTGACGTCGGGTAACGTCAGGAATTTTCATTTTAGTGCTCCGGATATGAGTGTATGTCTTTTTTTAATCTAATAAAAATATAACTATTTGTGCTTTGTTTCCGTTGAAAACTTGCATGTTAATAATATGAAACATGAATTTAATGAAATAATAGTGTTATATATTTTATCAATGTTTGTCAGTAATTATCAATGTTGACCACGAATTTTACGGACAACCCTCGTATATTGGTATTTTCTATAGAAATACTGAAGAATTCCAGCAGACATTTTTTTATCAAACCCTTACTGAAGTTCAGTATAATCTATAATTCTCTCAGCCTCTATAAGAATCCTTACACCAAGAAATAGGATTGACCAAAAGGAACTACAAAACATATAATAACAATATTACATTTACAAAGCTGAATAATTCCAAGACAAGATGGCAATGAACAGAAAATAAGAAACTATAATAAATACTTTGCCTACCCGACACTGTTTTTTAATACAATGGGGTTTTTTTGAATCAAGCTCGCAGCGTCCATAATGTTCCTTTTTTTCGAGAGAAAGGCGGACATTTCTTGTCGGCGGACATAATATTACGATTTTATTTTTTGGAAAAAAGGCTGACATTTTGTGGTGGTGAACGTATTGTGATGATTTCTCCGAAAACGAGGTGGACATTTCGTGACGGCGGACATAGTGTGACGATTTTTTGGGGAGAAAGGCGGACATTTTGTGACGGCGGACATGCATGATGTGACGATTTTTCCGAAAAAGAGGCGGACATTTCGTGACGGTGGACATAATGTGACGGCGGACAAAACGTCTCAAAATTATCTTATAATGTACGATGTCCTTTACATTAAGTATTTCTTTTAGAAGAAATCTCATATTTGACGATTCTGTTTTAGGTTTTATATGTTACCTGCTTTCACGAAATTGTTTTAATGAGCCTTCTCCACGAAGTGACAACAGAAGACAACCACTGAAGGCCAAGAGAATGAATAGAAAGAATGTGGTAAACTGGAAAATGTCGTTCCTAAGAATCCTCCATAATATCTGGGCATAGGCTCCCGTTTGTCTGAAGAAGAAACATTTAGGATATTATATATCGTGTCCTTGGTCATTTTTAATATGATGTTATGTAAAGGTAAGGAACTAAAAATACAAATCACACGTGTCTTCCACGTTTCAAGACTCAATCCATAATAAAAACTTAATCTATTCCTTCTATACATTCATAACATTTTGACCTTAGAAAAGAAGTTCAATTTGCAGCTTGTATATTATTCTCACCTAAAAACAGCAGCATATTTGAAAATTCTCATCGTCCACAAGAGATATGCAACTGAGAAAACAAACCATTGCTCGGACGTTTGGGTAAATCGTAGTGGCAGTATCAGAATTATCAAAATGGACGATGAAAGATCAACATAGTTAAAAGCATCCTGCCAATATTCCAATCGGTGTCTAAATATGGAAATTATGCTCCTGAATGTTGCAAAGGATCAGTTTTTTGTTGGATATTTATTGTTAAAAATATCTTATCACCAGGAATATATGTAATTAGAATTAATGATAGTATATGGATAATTATTTCTTTAAAACATTTATGCATACGGAAATTTAATTAAAATACACATTTTCTTTGGAAGTAATGTAATAAAAATGAACTGTAACATACTTACTTACGCAGTTGATTTAATTCTGAAAAAAGGACAAGGATGGCCATTCCAAGCGACCAAACTTCGCATAATGCGCGCGCAATTTGCAAAAAGGAGTTATCGTAAACTGATGGATCAGATGTAGAACTGGCAACAATGGCGGAAAATGTAAGGGTTATTAGGGAAAACAGATAGAACATCGAGTTAATTCTGCAAATGAAATAAAAAAAAGAATGTTTAGCTATACCTTAAGTTAAGTGTACAACTCGCATGCCTATCAAATTTTTTACAAAGGATTATTCATATCGAAAAAAAGCTTACAGAAAACGGAGTCTAGCATATTCTTTCCACTTCCTGCGTATGAGTAAACGAACAACATCATGGTAGACTAAAGTCTTAAAAAATCAAAGAGTTTTGTTTGAAAAGAAAAGCATGGTATACTTACAGCATATGTGTTAGACATTCTAAAGTAGTGATGGCTAACAAATGTTGCAAGAAAGGAGGAAAAATGAAAGAACTAATGGTATTTATCAATTTGGTAATCTATGTTAATATTACATTAAATTTGGTAATTGGACACACTTGCTTTATTCCCACTCTTTGCTATTTTTTGAAGACCAGACTTTGATCGTGGATTGAAATTTGAATCCTTCGGAACTCGTCCACTTTCATCTGCTTCTAGAACATTATAATAAACACAAACATCACCGCTGGGGCTGACTGGGTCTATCATGCAATCCAAAATGGCCATGACTGTGTTCTTAAATGACGTAAACAATTGTTACTGTATCTTAGTAGTGATTCCACAGTATGATTTTATAATAAATGACCAACTTTTCGTTTTGTTTATTTTTCTAATAGTAGTATGATTGTTTTCTTAGATTTGAGAGTAATCAATGTCCGATTGTATTCTGTCAGTATATACATTTAAGAGTCAGTCCGCGAGAAAACCATGCAGAACTGTCCAAATCGAAGGTTGTCATATCTTAATGAAATTTGATGGGTAGTTTGACTTTATAATATGTTATTCAAAAATGGCCAAAAAAATTCCCATCATTCAACATGGCAGCCGTAGGCAGCGCCAACTCCTTTTTGCACATTTAAGTACAAATGCACTTAAAAAATTCAAGAAAAATGGTAAAATTCACATTTGATTTATTTTACTCAAAATTAAACTTGCATTTCCTTTAAGGTATTTTTAAGTAACATAAGACTATGTTCTTTCAAAATTGACATTTATCATAATCAAATATGCAATATATCAAAGGGCAGACAACTCTTGAAAATTGACATGATGCCAATTTTCAAGAATTGCCAAAAGCATTACAAATTTAATGCCACAAATCTTCCAAGACCAATCTTTGAAGTAATTTTTTTTGATTTTATTGTACAAATATAACTCTAAACATTATGTTTGCAAAATATTGAGCTTGGGATATAATAAATAATTGAGATATGGGGATTTACAAATTGCCAATTTTTGAAAAAAACTGCTCAAACTCAAATGGGTTACAAAGTCAAATATAGTACTTTAAATTATAAACAATATATGTTAGATATTGAAACATGTAACAATTTTCTTTGAAATAAAAATTAAGATTGAAAAATATTAAAATTAAAAATTAAATTAAACTAAATTGTCAGAAATTACCCCTAATATGAGGATTAGCATCTTGCCAATTGTTTAGAAATGAAAAAAACTTACTTGCAATATTTAAACAATCATATGAATATTCATGTTCCTTACATTTTGTATTCAGTAAGTTAGTATCTTTTTAATTAATAAAAAGGAAATTACAGGTATTTAAATTCAAACGGACTCTCAGTATCATTCATATAAATTTTGAGACTTGAACATATAAAATTTGAGCCTTCACTAATTTGTTTGCTTTCTGTCAATTTTAAATTGGTACAATCTTTTAAAAATACTAACAGGAGATGTTATACAAAATACTCTTTAAAGGAGTTTAAGAAATGAAAGATGCTGGAGTTTACTCTTATCCCACTTCCCGAATCAAACAATTGTCTTCTTTTTTCGCTTGGCAAATATTCTTTTCAGGTAAGTTTAATTTTACCCCCCCCCCCCCCCCTTCAAAATCGTTTCTACGTCACTGCTATGACTGCGATTTTCGTGAATAAGAGATTTTATGAACACGAATAAATCAACTTGAATTAAATAATGGGGGATTGAATTTATAAAATATATATTGTTTATAAATTTGTGTATTTGAAGTGATTTAATCTAAAATAAAAAATATAATACGTTTTCCGTTCCGTTTTCCGTTCCTCGTTTTAGCAACACCCCTCCAGAACCCTTATAATTTTTCATTATTTTATCCATTTCAATATTAGTATGTAAATTGTAGGGAGGTGGATAGGGTGAAACGATTGGGTACTAGATACACTCGTATATTTAATATCCTGACCTTGATCGACTGACACGCCCCCTCCCCCAACTGTTTTCAGTGGATACATATAAGTGATATAACATTTAAAAAAAAAACGAATTTATCTCTTTCTGCAATGGTATTAATAATACCTTTATGGTTATTCAGAAAAAAGTATCAAATATTAATTCACAAAGCCTTATACAATTTTGTTAATAATGTTTTGAAAATAATTTCGACAAAATTTGATAAGCCCCACCCCCCCTCCCAATTTGAATGAATATGAATCCAGTCTTTTATCATGTTTATCTTGTTTATAGCCGGTTTTAAATTTTTAATTTTACCACTTTGTACTGCAAACTGGCAAAGTTTTGGCTGCAGTAACGACTCATATTTTCTTCGGGGGGGGGGGGGGGGGGGGGGGGTAGTGCCCTCCCCCGAATAATTTTGCCAATATTTAACGTGGAGGGTCCTATATCGGTGGGGTACCTAAACTGGTGGCATCTCCTTTTGAGCTGATGATTTTTAATATGAGATCAGTGGCGTATATTCCTTTCTGCTAATATGTAGGCTTGTGTGAAGCCACATATTGAACCTGAGCTGCAAAGCTTTGGTAGACAAGGGGCTTCCTCTCGATAGGTATTGGGGGGGGGAGGGGTCAGAGGGACCACTTTTGCAAACTCAGACATCTGCAATTTTAATTTGACCAGTGAAAATAATATTGTACATATATTACAGTTTATATCGTGATGTGAAGACCACTTAACAAAATTGAGAACTTATCCTTTTATTTGATATCCGCTTAGAAAGTATGGAAACTTCCTTACTAAATAATCAACAATTTATACCGTGATGTGAAGACCACTTAACAAAACTGAGAAATTATCCTTTTACTTGATACCCGCTTAGAAAATATGGAAACTTCCTTACTAAATAATCAAAATTCGATCAAAATGTTGACTAACAAATATAATGCAAGTTATCAATTTCATTTCCTGCATATATTATGGGATCCTGTTGTTTTTGATTAAATTTTCTGATACAGACTTGATATTAATAACACTTGAACTTTGGCTTAAAAAATGTCAAGCTAAGGAATACTTTTGTCCTTAAATATAAAGCAAAACTGTAAACTTAATCGGTTAGGCATAAAAGTGCGGATTGCATATATATATATATTGCATTTATATTGAAAATATATGATTTTATTTAGTCAGTCCTCCATGATTTTTCCCCTCGCATATTTCATTATTAAATGTTTCATATGTGTTTTTCTTTTTTCGTTTCCTTTTCATATTCTAATTATGTATATCATATATTTGTACCTCTGACCTAAATTTATAATAAATATATGTTGTAAATATTCTTCATTGTCCTCATATACCTGAAATGGTAATGAGTGAATAAAATGATCTTGAACTTGAACGGGGGCCAGGTGCCTTAAACAAAATATCAAATGTATATTTTGATTAAAATATTCTGTTATTATTTGATTAAATTTCCTATTCAAATGTACTTGTTAGGAAAAATTTTGTAACTGTTAATTACCATGAAATACATCGAGGACAGAACCCTATAGAAAGCATTGCTACTACATGTATATGCCCCAAATAAAAAAAAACATCTGATGACCTTTCAATTTTTTTTACTTTCTATGGAATTCTTGGTAGTTGATAATGTAGCATTGTAGGTTGTCCCCCCTCCCCCACACTGAAATTGCTTCCTATGGGCCTTGTTTTGTTTATTCAAGCTAAGTTGTTTCTTTCTTACATTCAAATATCTTAAAATAAGTTTTCCCTCTTTCATAGTGCAATAATGCTCCACAAAAACTCCCTAGGTAAAGAAAAAATAATCATACATGACTTTCTTCTTTCCATATTGACATACCTGTCACTTTTTACCCAGTAATACTAAAGAGTTCCAGCAAGGGGAGATAACAATTTAACTTCAGCAAATTGGTAACAAGGGGCTAAAATAAGCAAAAGAAAGTTATATTAAGTATCCAAATCAGTTATTCCTCTCTTAAAAAATATATTAGATTAAGAATCTTCTATTTTTCATTTCAATATCATTGAAATAATCCAAAAATATGGTAAAAGACTGTTATTTAAAATATGTGAAATTGTAGCAAAATATGGTATTTCAAAGTTAATTTACAACATGTAAATATTATTTCCCAAGCTCAGTATTTTAAAACAAAGTAGACCTTAGATCATTCTTAAAGTAAGAATTAATTTAATTTAATTTCAACCTTGGTCTTGAGAGAAACGAGCATCTAAAAATGGCTAAAAAATCATACTCATTTATTTAGGATCTATAAATAGATGTGTAAAAAATAAAATATTCATTTGAATTCAGTTTTTCCTCATTAATTGTGTTAATTGGACCATGACTTTGAAAATAAAACAAAATTTGAAAATAAACTGATTATAAAAGGTAACTTTTTGACTTGATCAATTTGTATACATTTTCCATTGAATTTTGTGTGATTTTCGACAAATATGCAAATGAGCTGTTACTAAAAATAGGTGCAGGGTTCAACATTTTTTTGTGAATATTCTGACGTCTACCTTTATGTAGAAAATTTTAAGCCTCTAAAACATCCCAAGTTGCAACCTTCCATTTGGACGATTTTTTGAATTTTGCATGGTTTTCTCGCGGACTGGCTCTTAACAGCATAATAGCAAAATTTTCCAAAGTTCTTTTTTTTTTCTTGTTCAAAATGCTTTTCTTGATGTCAGTTTAAAATTGCAGATACCTCCATTTTTTTGTCCAGGAGAGTATGAAAACTAAATTCTGCTGACGCATTCCCATTACCGGTGTGTATCTTTCTGACACTGAAATGGATAAATACCAACATTGCCAAAATACATGTATCCTTATAATAGGTTAATAAAGAGCAGTCTAGCGAGAAAAAAAGAGGTAGAGCAACTTTGGGCCTTATTTGGCCCTAAGAATTTCTGAAAATTCAAAACTGCTCAGTTTAGGTTGCAAATGCAGTATTTAGCACTTGGACTGTTGTTGACCACGTATCTATTAATTGTGACGTAATTTCACATCTAGTCAATGCATTATGACGTCATAAAATGCGTCATTTTCCTCAAATCCTGTAAATTCCTTTGAAAATGACCCAAAGTTGAAGCATTTTTTCAATAGTACATATAGAGCACAACCTCTGATCCAAAATATGCCAATACATAATGAAAGGCCTCTTTCTGTAGATCAAAAAACAGGTTTAATTTTGCGGATCGTGGGCTGTGCTCATATTTTAATTCTTTGCTGAAGGCAGTCAAATTAGCATATTTTCTGCAAATTTTAAGAACATTGCAATTTCTCAAAGTCTGTTTTCAAATATTTAGATTCTCAAAACGAAATTTCATTATAGAACATGAAAGCACCAAGTGTCTACTTTATTTTGATATATGAAAATGGATAGAGGGTGATAGTTAATTAATTGATATAAGTACAGGGCCATTTTATGCATAAGATGGCTCTTGCTATTTTATTTAGAAAATAATTGTTACATACTAATCATTACTCATGTGTGTAATAAGCATCGCAGCAATGTCGTCATTTACATCCTCGAAGGCAATTGTATAAGGCATAACTCCTTTTTTGTCACGGGCATTTGGCCAGGCTTGGTGCTCCAATAGTTTAGAACAGACACCTTTATACTTTTTCTTGACGGCATAGTGTAATGGTGTCCACAAATCCTTGTTGCTAGCAGAGGAGTTAGCACCACGGTGAAGTAAGCTATTGATTAGCATTTGTACCTGAAGTAAAAGTCACTTTTTTGGAAGTATTCTCTAGGTGTGAAATAGAAAAAAAACATTCCTAGAATGAAGAAGATAACACTTTACTAAATTTTGAATTATTTTTAAAATACAACATGTACAGAAATTATTTACTTTGTTTTCTGGGTCTAATTTTGATACTATGTACAGCAATGCACGGTCAATACTGCCCTCCTTTTTAATAATTCTGTCAAGCGTGACTTCGATCTCTGCGTCTTGCTTTACGATAAAATACACTTGTGTTTTTTCAGCCACCTTCAACATAAAAATGCAATTTTTGTTCTCATACATGTGTACATATATATGCTGTGTTTTTTAAAATGAATTTTATTTCAGCAAATATCTGCCTTGAAACATTCATTAATATCATATCAATATTACTAACATTAAAGAAAAAAAAGAAAATACTATGATATTCTCTACAGTATATCTTTTTTTATTGCGAAATATTTGTTACACTAAACTCAAAATTACAATCGACAAATGTAATCTTTTCTAAAAAAAAATAATGACAATGTTATACATTGAGCTCTATCAGCTACAGAAATGACGTAAACAAATTCTAGATGAGGAGAAAGATCTTGAGCTAAAAATAATGGCATTTTTCATATTTGTATAACCTTAATTGGCTATGTCTAATGTATTTAAGGTAGTCCGATCCTCAGCTTTATAAACTTAGCAGCTGAATAATCAAAAATACTCATAAAAGCATCTCTGAATCCACAAAGTTATGTAAATTTATCCACAGTATTTCTTTAAAGTTAAAGATTAAATTTAATCATATTATATAAAGAAAATTGTCAAATCTCCAATATTTTTGCAGAAAAGGCGATTGGAATATCAGCAATGCATTTTCTAATTGTAAATTGATCAACAAATATATTTTAGGTAAAAAAACGATAGGCATTCAGACATTTAGAGAAATTGTCATGGTTTTTATACTTATTTAGTATTTTTATCTTCTATTTCCTTCATGTATTCTACAATACATAGTGTACAAGGCTTTTGCTATGATTGCAAGGCACCACAAATCATTTCTTATTTCATATCATGCTAATTAGCATTGGTATCTAAGGATGGATTAAAAAAAATCTTATTTCTCTAAAACTGTATTTTTTTCCTTTTATGTCAACTTTTATAAGACCTTTTCTAAGACTTACAAAAACCTTGAATCTTATAAAGATGAATGAAATGAAAATTGTTGCATGAAAAAAATATCATTTTAAAGCTTCATTTTGATGCATTTCAAATTAAATATTAAATATTAATTTTTGGATTTATCCTTCCTGGCCGAGGATCGGGTATCCTTAAATAAAAGGCATTTCTTACCTAATTTTAGAGATATCAGAATGTTAAATACCATGCTTGACAGTATTTGGATGGATTTTTTTTTATTCTTTTAATTTACGGACCCATCAATCTGTCTATAACGAGAATTTTTCAGCATAGATTAAAAATATTATAGTGGACATGTATCTCTTACAATATTTGAGAATATGAATAGGTTAAATTTCAAATAGGAGGCCTTCAATAGCACTGCATCTGGATAAGGTAAATTGCGTATTTTTTTCAGACAACTTCAACATAAAAAATTTTCATTTCCAAAGAAAAAAAGCAAACAAAATCTATAATTCAATATTTAAATATTTACATAAAACCGACATTCTTTATTTTGTTGATTGTAAAAATATTAAAAATCAAGCTTACCCCAATATCGTTTAAGACTTAAAAAAGATCTAAGCATGATAAAAACGTGTCATGTTTACATTTTTGAGTACGGGAGAAACGAACTTTGACGTCAATCATAAGGGAAATAAGAAAATTAAGATACACCTACAAAGGATTTCATGTCAAAAACCATGTAAATAATAATTTTTGTGTTTCCTAATTTTCAAAATACCCCACCATGTGCTGATTATGACTCCTTTTTGTGCAATAATTCATTTTTTTTTTCAATGAGGCTAGTCTGGCTTTACTATGAGATGTATGAGGTCAGCGACTTGTTGGATGCCTAGTGTAGGGAAAACAGGCGCCGGGATCATGAAACATCTTAACCTTAAGGTAGGATTCTTCTCTGGTTTCTGACTAGATGGAATATTCAAAGTACATTTGTTGATATGTTTTGTATATTTAGATGTAAGAGATTTAAAAGACCATATTTTTCTTTCCTCATCACAACTATACAAATTTAAATAGAAATGGTAAACTGCGTTTGAAAAATAGCAGGGACTTAATTTTTGGCGGAATGGTGGTGTATGAAAATATCTTCTTTTCTGGCTCTCAAAGTTATCATAGAGCATTGAATTTAGTTATGATTTTTACGCAATCAAAGACCAGACGAAATTTTCAAATGTAAGTTAAATTGATAGTAAGGAACTAAATTTTCAAAATATATCAAATAAATAAGGTTTTTCACACATACTAGAACTATAATGGCTTTTAAATGCTTCAAATATAAATACAGATTTGAGCAAAAAAATCCGTAAAAAGTGTTATTTCTCTCTTAGTAAAAGATCAAAGTTTTGTATCATTTTGTACCTTTATGTGACAACTTTACTATATGTGAAAATTGGAAAAAGGCAAATATAGGAAGCATATAAAAATAACTAATACATCCTAAAAAATTAAGAAAAGTAGAGGAAATTCGGATTAGCTTATATCTGTTTTATTTAAATTATCAATGTCAATTTGGTAATATAATCTTATAGGCCCTATATGGTAGTATCTTTCTATGAAAAAAGAAAAACATTCATCTTTTGAATAACAAGTATGGATGGCATGATTGGAAACAGTAATTTTTTATTCTTAATGTCCAGAAAAAGGTAATGACCTTGACCTGCCCTTGCCTCTTATATTAAACGGTCAAATTTAATCTCACTGATACCATCACTTAGTAATATTGTCCATTTGATTCTGTGAAAATTTCATTAATTCTTAAATACAAGAAATGTGAGAAGAATCCTACCTTTAATCGAAATATTCATGTTGTATTTGAATGTGTAGAATCAAACACTCCTAAATCAAAATATTTTTCCACAATATTTTCAAAAAGTATTGTTTTTGGAAAATTTAGAGATAAATAAAATAACAGATATAAAGATTTTTTAGGTAATTAACCATTTTACTTCCGTCTGGGGACAGAAAAGTTTATTCTGTAATTTGCTAATTATTAAAAAAAAAGTTTGTCTTTTTAACCATTTTTATCAGACGGTAGAGTTAAACAATTCAAAAAGTCATAGAAGTACTGATGGTTTATATAAGGTTTTGCACTTATATTATCATAACTATGATGTAGTTATCCTTAGTCATGTGACCATGTGTCTTTCATTTGTGGCCATGTCATTAGATCAATAAATGACTATCACCCTCCTTCCCACTTACTGTATGAAAATGAAGTAGCTACTCCATTTTCTGTAAAAAAAAATCTTTTTGAGAATTTGGGTACCGTGTAAATAGAAATTTTAGCGAGATGCAAATTTAGCGATTTGCTCTTAAAAACTGGTATTTTATTTTATTTCATTTATTTTTTTTTAAAGAGTTTATTTTTACTTTCACACAAACTACACAAATACAAAACAGACGTAAATTTAAATAAATATACAAGACAGTTTGAAATAAAGCAAAAACAAAAAGGATGTAATAAAAACTAGTGTGAAAGTTTATGTAGAGAGAGAGTGGGAGGGAAAGGGAGAGAGAGAAAGCAAGAGAGAGAGAGAGAGAGAGAGAGAGAGAAAGATGAGGGGCACACACTTTATAGAATACTCAGTAAGTAACGGTAAGAATTTTTTTTTAAGCTTTTCAACTATTTTCTGCCAGTGCCTTTCAAATTCATCATATTTACAATTTTTTAACAAAAGAACTTTTTCTACTCCAATTCTTTCAGTTATAACATTTTTCAAAGCCTCAGCGTTTAATTTTATAGTTTTGGCATACTAACTTGCAAAAATATATTGTTTTATAATTAGAATAAGTCGATTTTCTAACTTCTAGGAGTTTCTGTTTATAAATTTACCAAATAAAATTGATTGCCTATCAAAACAAAAAGACCTGTTAACTTTTTGAAGATCCATTCATCAATCACTAGCCAAACTTCTTTTACAACAGAAAATTTAACAAAAAGGTGATCAATGGTTTCAATATCTTTCTCAAAGAAGGAGCATAATGGTGAATCAATAAGTCTTAATTTGAAAAGATGGCAATTAGTAGGAATTATTCTATGTAAGATTTAGAATTGTAACTATTTAAGTTTTGTTTCTTGGGTTGTTTTGAAAGGTAGCTCAAAAAAGTTTTCGCAGTATTTTTCACAAAATTTTGCCCCATTTTCACCCCATTTTACAGCTGAAGTTATATTGCCCTTTTTATTCTTAATGAGAACATTATACATATCTTTACACCCTTTTTTTACTCTTTAAGAAAATTCCAAGGCTGGATGGAAACAGTGGTCTAGGAATTGGCTTTATTTTATAACTCTTAAAACAGGATAGTCTCTTTCTAATTGCTGTTTTTAGTCCTGCATCTTCAACATAGCATGTATTTACCTTCATGTTATTTTGGATGAAATCAAAACTGTGAAAATTTCCATTAAAATCTAAGAAATCATTGATAAAAACAAAGCCTGAATTAAAGTAATTTTTGATGAAAATTGACTGGCCACCAATGGTAACTTCTAGATTATAAAATATTTGTTCTTGGAGAGGACTTAAATCAGCTATAGCTTTAGCCTGATTTACTTTACACCAGCTGGAGAATACATCTTTCCAGAACTTATTTTTCATGGTACTACTCAGATTCTTAATCAAGACAATTCCAAACAGCCAAATATGACTTGTACTTATTCCCAATTCTGCTTCAAGTAATTTAACTCATTTTGCACTTGAACACATAATCCGCCTTATCCAACTAGATTTCAATGATGTAACAAAATTTTTATAATCTATCATTTTTGAGCCCCCAAATCTATGTTATTGAATCATTACATTTTTCTATACTTTATGATTTTTATTATTCCATAGGAAATTATACAAGTCTCTTTCCAAAGGATTTGGTAAAGTGAGGAGAAGATGAATTAGTTTAGGAATTAGAAATGTTTTGTTACAGTCAGGCTTCCAAGAGGAGCAAGTTTGCGAGCTTTCCATTGTGACATGTTTTTTTTTTTTTTTCTTCAATTTCTAATTTGTAATTTATGTCTACCGTCTCAAGTAAATCTATAGAAAACCTAACACCTCGTAAATCAAAGGATGTAGTACTGGAATCAA